CTGAGCTCACGTGCTCCTTCTGCCTGAGCGTCCTGAGTAGTTGAGACTACAGGTTCGCACCACCATGCCTGGCTAATTTTTCTGATTTGGGGAGAGATGTGAGTCTTGCTATGTTGCTCAGGCTAGTTTGGAACACCCTAACCTCAAGCAATCCTTCTGCCTTGGCCTCCCAAAGTGCTAGGATTACAAGCACAAACCCTCATGCCCCACCGATAGCATGGTTTTTTCTTTTGTTTATAAACCGAAGATTTGTGTAAACCATGCATCCAGCAAGTTTAGTGGCATCATTTTCCCAACAACATGTGCTCACTTTGTGTCTCTGTGTCACCTTTTGATAATCTTTCAATATTTTAAACCATTTCATTATTACTGTATCTATTATGGTGATCTATAATCAGTGTTCTTTCTTGTTACTATTGTAATTGTTCTGGGGCACGATAAACAGCACCCACATAAGACGGTGAACTTGATTGATAAATGTTATGTGTGTTCTCACTTCTCCACCCTCCAGTTCTTTTACTGTCTTGCTCTCCTCTGCTTAGGCCTCCCCATTCACTGAGATATAACAATGTTGAAATTAGGCCAATTAATAATCCTACCATGGCCTCTAAGTGTTCGATGAAAGGAAAAGTTGAACATCTCTCACATCTTAAATCTTAAATCAAAACATCTTAAATAAAAAACTAGAAACAATTATACTTAGTGAGGAAGGCTAAAGCCAAGATATCCTGAAATCTAGGCCTCTTGTACCAAACACTTAATGAAGATATGAATGCAAAGTTCTTGAAGAAAATTAAATGTGTGACTCTAGTGAATACACAAATGATAAGAAAGCTAAACAGTCTTAGTGCTGATATGGCTGAGAAAGTTTAGTGGTCTAGATAGAGGAACAAATTAGCCACAATATTCCCTTAAGCCAAAGCCTAATTCAGTCCAAAGCCCTAATTCTCTTCAATTCTATAAAAGGTAAGAGAGGTGAGGAAGCTGCAGAAGATGCTGCAAAAGAGAAGTTTGGAACTAGCAGATGTTGGTTCATGGGGTATAAAGAAAGAAGCTGTCTCCATAACATAAAAAAAGAAGCAAAGGAAAGCACCACGTGCTGGTGTAGATGCTGTAGCAAGTTATTTGGACGATCTAGCTAAGATGGCTAATGAAGGAGGCTACACTAAACCACAGATTTTCAGTGTAGATGAAACAGCCTTCTATCAGAAAAAAAAAAAATGCCATTTAAGAATTTAGGGCCCTGTGTGGTGGCTCACGCCTGTAATCCTAGCACTCCGGGAGGCCAAGGAGGAAGGATCACTTGAGGCCAGGAGTTCAAGACCAGCCTGAGCAAGAGCGAGACCCCGTCTCTACTAAAAATAGAAAGAAATTAGCCAGACAACTAAAAATACAGAAAAAATTAGCCAGGCATGGTGGCGCATGCCTGTGGTCCCAGGTACTCGGGAGGCTAAGGTAGAAGGATTGATTAAGCCCAGGAGTTTGAGGTTGCTGTGAGCTAGGGTAATGCCACATCTCAAAAAAAAAAAAAAAAAAAAAAAGAATTTTGTAGCTAGAGTGGAGAAGTAAATGCCTAGTTTCTAAGGCTTTTTTTTTTAAATTTCATCATATTGTGGGGGTACAAATATTGTTAAAGTTACATATATTGCACTTGCCACCCCTCCCCCCCCCCCACCCCCCCCACCCCCACAGAGTCAGAGCTTCAAGCAAGTCCATCCTCCAGGTGGTGCACATCCATTGCACTTGGTTTTTAAGGACAGGCTGACTCTCTTGTTAAAGCCTAATGCAGCTGGTGCCTTTAAGTTGAAACAAATGCTCATTTACCACTCTTGAGAATTATACTAAGTCTACTCTGCCTGTGGTCTAGAAATTGAATAACAAAGTCTAGCTGATAGCACATCTATTTTTCTGAGTATTTTAAGTCCACTATTGAGGCCTACTACTCAGTAAAAAAATGATTCCTTTCAAAATATTGCTACTTCTTGACAATGAACCTAATCGGTCAAAAGCTCTGGTGAAGATGTACAGGTGATTAATTTTGTTTTCTTGCCTGCTAACATATCTTTTCTACACCCCATGGATCAAGGAGCAATTTTGACTTCCAAGTTTGATTATTTAAGAAATGTATTTCATATGACTATAGCCTCCATAAATCATAATTCTTTAGATGAATCTGAGCAAAGTTAATCAAAAACCTTCTGGAAAGGATTCATCCTCCTACATGCCATTAAGAACATTTGTGATTTTCATCCAGTCACCCAGCCTAGTCATCTGAGAAGAACATTCAGTCCATTCACTATAATTGATAGCATTGATATGTGGGGTATTGGTCCGTTCATCCTGTTGGGTAGCCCCTTGTTGCTTTGTGTTACCTCTTGTTCTATATTTTTTTATAGGAGTTGTGAGTTTGGGGGATTTTTTTAGGTGAATTTACACTGGTGCATATCTGTTGTGCTGATCTGTGTATAATGCTGTTCTGAGTATTTCATGCAGCACAGGTCTGGTCATTGCAAATTCCCTCAATGTTTGTGTCTCTGAAAAGGACTTAATTTCTCCATCTATTGAGAAACTTAGTTTTGTGGCATACAAGCCCTTCTGGCTTGTAGGGTTTCCACTGAGAAGTTTGCAGTTAGCCTGATGGGTTTTCCTTTGTCGGTTATTTGATGTTTTTTTATTGTGGCTCCCAGAATTTTCGCCTTCATTTTGACTTTGATCAGGTTGATTACTCTCTGTCTTGGAGATAACCTATTTGCTATGAATCTTCCTGGTGTTTGATGTCCATATGGCAGCTGTATGTCTGAACTTCTGGAGATGCCTGGGGAGTTTTCCTCAATAATTTCCTCAAATAGATTTTGTATGCTTTTAGCTCTTTCTTCTTCCTCTCAGGGAAACCTATAATTCCAATGTTAGTTCGTTTCACATAGTCCTATATCTCTCTCAGTGATTACTCAGACTTCTGTATACTCTTCTCTGACTCTTCGAATGACTGGGTTATCTCAAGTGCCTTTTCTTCAGGCTCTGAGATTCTTTATTCTCCTTGCTTTAGCCTATTAAAGCTTTCAACTGCATTTTGAAATCCCCTGAATGACTCTTTCATTTCTTTAAGTTATTTTATATCATTTCTTATGTTGTCTAGCTCTCTTGTGACATTTTCATTTTTTTATTGATTTCCTAAAACAATTTTTTTTTTCATTGTTGGTTTTCAACTTTCTCTTTGACTCCAATCATCTTAATTGCCATCCATATTCTGAATTCCACTTCTATCATTTTAGCAATTTCCTTGTGGGTGGAGTCCACTACTCCTAGCTCCATTATATTCTCTTGGGGGTGTCAAACTATTTTGCTCTTTTGTGTTGTCAGGGTTCTTTTGCTGGTTTATTCTCATCTGGTTCCTCTTCCCTCAGCTCTGGGTTAATAGGAATGCAGGGCACCTATTCTTTGCTGGGAACACTCTGGAACCAAGTCCAGGAGTGATGGGATGGCTGCTCAAGGATAGGGGGTCCTAAGTGAAATGTTGGACTTTAGGGAGCTTCTGCCAGCCCTGTGGGAGTAGCAGGGACTCAGTAGTGGGGTCTTGGTGTCCACGCACAACTCTGGAGTCTCAGAGGTGAAGTTTCAGGACCAGCAGTTGTCCTGGAGCTACAGGGCACAGTGAGAGCTTCAGAGCTGGCTCTGAGGATTTTGGGGGCAGTGCCACCCATATGGGGGGAGCTGTTCTATTAGTATTGGGACTGCTGATGCCCAGTTGCACAAGCAGGGGTTTCTCTCAGTGGGCAGGTTCTGTGTAGTTGGGCTGGAGCTGCCGGTCAGCCAAAGTTCTTCACCCATACCTAGGACCCACTGAAGCAGTCACCTGAGGATTCCCAAGTGGTGCCTGTGGCATCTGAGGCTCCCCTTCTCTTTGGCTTTCATGCCAGGGAGAAGGCATGCTCAGCCCTTAGTCATAGAGCTTGACATGGGGCATGCCTACTCTCTCCCCGGCCTGGCAGGGTGATGCTAAGATTACTACTGTATTGTTGGGTCCTAAGTGGACCTAGCTCTGTGCACCAGAGTGGTCAGGATCCCATCAGTTGCAAAAGCCTGGGATTGGCAGGCATCAGATCTCTGCTCCTCCTGCTCTCTGGTGGAATCTCTCTGCACAGATTCTGAGCAGCTCAGAGGTCTGCAGTGGAAGAGGGAGTCCCCTCACAGATTGAGCTTCCTGTAACTTTTGTCTCTCTCCTAAAAGACAGTGTCCCCTTGGGTTGCCTCTATCCTGCTGCTTTCACCTCTTCCTAGCAGTGTGAATTTTTGGGTCTCCCAACTTAATCTCTGAGATGGTGTATGGCATTTGTGAGTAAGAATCAGCCATACCCTGTTTGAGTTGGTAGATGCTGTGATTAACTGTCCAGTTTTTCCCTGTCAGAGGTTTATGCTTGCAGGAAAAAGCCAACTACTGAGATATTCCTTTGTGCCCATGGTAAGCTCTAGCTCCTTAGGAGTACTTGAATATTCCAGGCTTTGGGAGGGGCCCTGTAGCTCCACCACAGCAAAAGTGAGTAAATGAGTGAGGCAGAACCTGTTAGGTTTCTCAAGCCTGGAAGGCTTTGCAAAAGCCTCTCCTGAGCTGAGTTTGTTTTCCCAGCCACTATGGGGAGCCAGTAGGAGGAAAATCAAGGCAGCCTTTCCAGACTGGGAGGGCTGCTTGAGGGGCAGGGGCTGGAATGTTTGGTTGCTATGACACCCTGGCCTGGGATCTTCCCCGGAGGCACACTCAACCTAATCCAACAGCGAGGCTTTCCTGTGGGGGAGATGGGCTCTCTCCCAGATGGCCATGTCTCAGACCCCCACAGTATTCTCCCAACAGTTCTGTCTACATGGGCTCCCTCGCCCTCTGAGTGCAGCTCTCAAACCTCCCCGTGTGTCCCACAGCAACTCACTCAAGTCCAGGGGGCATGAGATATGGACTGCGTGTCTGACTTGATGGCATGAGTCTCCACAAAAGTCTGCAGCAGGGAGCTTACTGATTGGGTTCTGCAGGTGCCCTGTGGGGCCTGCAGGGGAAAGACATGGGTCCTCAGTCTCTCTGGAAGCCTGAGACTTAGGACGTGCTGGCTTGGGAAAGACAGCTGCCCACCAAATTCTTGGCTCAAACTGCTCTCCCAGCTGCAGTGAGTGGGGGAGAGGTGGCAAAGAATAAGTGTCTGAATGGGGGAAAGCTGGCTTTTTGGCCTCTCAGGTCACTGTCCTTAGAGGGGAACCCACATGGAATGCTTAAGCTCTGGGAGCTTCCAAGTTCTCCCCACAATTCCATGTTTGCCAGAGTGCTTGGGCTTCATGGGGGAGGAAAAGCTTCCAAGAAACTTGGCAGCCTGCTGTCACCAAAGGAGTGTGGAAGGGAGAAAGGGACCCCCGTTACCTGTTTCACTGAGCTCCTAGACTCTCTTGTTTTGATCCTCGCTGATATCTTTTTTTCCTTTATCTTCTTTTTTCTTTGCTTCACAATTTTTCCCTGTGAGGTCCCCAGTAGTCTCTGGCACTTCTCTCTATGATCTACACCTGAAGTGCATCCTCTCCCCTGTCCTCTATCTGAAACCCTACCTTACTTCTGGGATGGTCCAGCAAGCGATGTCTCTAGTCAGCCACCTGTCCCCCTCCCATAAACTATTTCCAATTAAGGTATGTGCATTGTTTTTTTAGACATAATGCTATTTCACATAATAGGGTATAGTATAGTGCAAACATAACTTTCATATGCCCTGGAAAACCAAAAACTCACGTGATGCACTTTCAATATTTGATTTATGGTAGTGGTCTGGAACTGAACTCACAATATCTATAAGTATGCCTGTATCAGTTACCATGTCCTGTGAAAATATCTTAGTTTTACTTTCAAAGAAAAATTGTGGGGAAAAAAGATCGTTAGTTTGAACTGGAATAGCTTGATTTTTCTTCTTTACAAATATCTAGTGCGTTATCTACAGGACAAATTCTGATCATCGATGGAAACGCTAAAGAACAATGAGTGTTGGAATATAGAAAAGTTAGACATCCAGAAGACAGAAATTTCATAATACCTGTAGATTCCATTGAATTTTTTATTGGTTTCTCTTTGTCACTATTCCTCAGGGCACTTTTTGGACTTGGAAGAGTCCCAGATGCTTCACAGATATACTTTCTCTTATAATCTTAGTTTCTATTTAAATCATAAAATGTCAAAACTTTTACAGTAGCCCTGTCCTACATTTTTAAGTTTCTAAGAATACAGAAGATGATAGCCAGACTTCTGTTCCTAAGTTAAAGTGTCAACCTCCTTTTTAGTGACCAGAGTCTACATAAATTGGTCCTTAACTTTTTCTCTTACTTTCACTTACTTTTTCTTACTTTACTTATCTTACCTTTGCTTTACTTTTTTTCTTACTTCTACTTACTTTTCACATATCAGTGAATCTGACTGAAGATAGCATAGTGAATATTTAGTAAGACTAAAGATATATGGAATCCTTATTTTAAAGAATGCCTTTCTTAGTTATTTTGACCACAAGCTTCATGACAAACTTAAGAATGACATCATTTTGACAATAGCAACAACTCAAAGTACAAAGGAACATATAATAGCAGTAATCTCTGCCACTAGGTGAGTTTGGAAATTTAAGATTTAAAATTCCAAAATACTTTAACAATATCATCCTATTGTTAAAATCACTGATTCAGTCTATTTTAACTGATTTAGCTGATTTAACACAATAACAAATGGCAATTTAAACAGCAGTGCCATTTGAGACTTACTAAACTACCTATTATGAGTGATGAAATCATTCCAAATTCTAACTATACAGTGAAGGATATATTTAATACTCGTATGAATATTGACTTGAGTATTTTGGTTTCACTTTCGACTTTTGTAATAGTTGCAGCAACATTTTCCTACATACATTTTTTAAAGGAAGAATGTCTTCATAAATGAGCAAAAAGTTGAGTATCTGAACAATGTACAAGTATAAGCTTTCTCATTTATATGTAGTTGAGTTTGAATATACAACTTTTTCTTAATTACAGATGTGGGTATAAACTACCCTTGTTTGGCCTCTCTCAGTCTACCTGCTTGGCTTAGCATTCTGATGTCAATTGTGGGAAAATCTATGATGGAGCATTGATAAAGCAATCCCTGGATGTTCAGGTGAGTTGATTTTATTCAATTGTTTCTGGCTTATAAAACTCAAGAAAGACTTTAATGAGAAGTAAACAGTAGAAAATGTGGAGAACTCATATATGTACAAAGATTGTGGATTGGCAAACCACAAAATTGATATTTTAGGGAAAGTGACATTTTGGATAAATACATAAACAAGAGAGTAAAAGTTGTATTCAAATAAAAAGCTGAAGCAGAAAAATATATCACAATGAAACAATAAATAAATAAAAAACACAAATAAGGGGAAGGTGCTAATACTGAGCTTCCTAAGAGGGAGGTAGTCAAAGTTTGAGTCAGAGCAATCAGAACTACACTGGAGAAAGGTAAGAAAGATTAAAGACAGGTAAGAGAATTAAATTACAATATCAATTAGTTCATGGAATTAGTGACTAATAATTTTATTGTATGGAATTTCTGACATTTTCTGCTCTCCTAACTTCCTTGAAATAACACTTGCAAGGAGAATAAAGGGAAAATTAACAATTTCTGATGGCATAGTATGAGCCAAGGCAGGTGCCATGTGATCAACATAATGTCTTCTTCAATCCTTAAACTGAGGAAGGGTAGGGATGTTTTGGAGCAGTCTGTTGAGGTGGAAGTTACGTTTTATAAACGTTCTCAAGAATGCCAATTCCCCATTAGAAGAAAGAAGTGACCAGCGATTTATCTGGATTCTTCTCGTATGATGGGAAAGAATGTCCATTTCATTCCTAGGGAATAATCAAAGAGAAGAGGGGTGCCATCTGATGAACTCTACTTTTAGAAATAAAAGTTGATAGCAAAAGTCTAATATGGACTTCAAGATAGCAAGAAGGCAAAAAAAGTTGGAATCTCTAGATGAGGAACAACTATAAAAACAGTAATATTTCTTAAATTTTCAAGTGATTGCATGGCCTATTTTATTTGTGATTTCCCATTTACTTTCACTAAGTGATTGACTTTAAGGCAAAAAAGGCCTATCCTTTGAGTCATAAAATATATTAATACTTGGAGAACTTGCATCTAATTTAATGCAGGCTGGGGAAAGACATCCCCAAAGGATATTTGAGGTTATGTTTGCTACAACTGAAAAGAAGGAAAGAAGGGAAAACGGACTAACAGTAGTCTCCAGAACCAAAAGTGAAAAGAAGACTTGACCTTAGAGCTGAGCAGAATAGTCTGTGAACTTCTTGGTAACCCATGAAAAAAGCAAACATTCCACCATACTTCTGTTGAGGAAATTTAGGCTCACGGAAGTTTTGTGATCTATCCAAGGCCACATGCCTAACATGTAACAGACTTAGGATTCAAGCATGGTTTTGATTCACCTCAAAGCCCATATTCATACTCTGTCATCACAATGACCAATGGATGAGAATTTTAAGCTAATATTAGGAAAATGGAACCATTAAGAAATAGAAATCACTGCTGGTGGGACTGAAAATTAGTGCACCCTTTGTGGAAAAGAATTTGGAGATACTTCAAACAGTTAAAAATAAAAATACCATTCAACCCAGCAATAGCATTGTTAGGCATCTACCCAAAAGAGCATAAGACATTCTATTATAAAGACATCTGCATCTGAATGTTTATGGCAGCACAATTCACTATTGCAAGGAGATGGAAACAACCCAAGTGCCTGTCGATTCATGACTGGATAATTAAAATTTGGTATATGTTTACAATGGAATATTACTCAATTCTAAGAAATGACAGTGAGCTAACACCACTCATATTATCCTGGATTGAGCTTAAGCCATTATCCAAAGTGAGGTGACACTGGATCAGAAAAATGGGCAACATTGGTACTAACTGATTATCAATATGGTGCTCAAAGGATGGTAGTGTTCACCAGAGATTCAGGGACTGGGGGGATAGACCCACATCTGAGGGATGCGGTGAACAGTGTGGTGGGGAAGGGCATACCTCTAACCTTTGCTAAGTAAAGGCAAAGTTATAAAATCTAACCAAAATTTTATAAAAAAAAAACAACAAAAAAACATTTATCGGCTGTCAGGCAGGTGAGGGGGAGGGGGAGGGTTTATATATATACATTATAAGTGCATTGTGGATTGTCAGAGGCATAGACATGCTTAAAACTCTGACTCAAGAGGGGAGGAAAGGCAATAGCAATGTATGTAACCTTATCATTTGTACCCTCATATTATGCTGAAATAAAAAAAAATAGAAAAAAAAGAAATAGAAATCAATAGGAATATATGTAAAAATGTTACTTAACATACATTAATACAAGCAGTTTAATTCAAAAAAGAATAAGATTACAGAACATAATATTACAGCATAAGTAGTTATTAGTCTAATGAAGTACTTTGCACAAGACTGAAATTTTGGTGAAACATCTTAATTTAATATGAGAGAAAATTACATGCATAAAATAAATGGCAAGTACTTTTGTGTAATAGGTTGAGGAGCACTAAATTCTGTTGTCACTAAGTGGGGCCTGTATTATAGCCCATTTTTATTATAGCTAAGCTTCACTGGACATATTCACTATAGTTTGGGGAATATGAGAGAATACTGCACTAGGGTTCTGACCCTAGCTTGTTATAAGATCTATAATAAATCACTTAGAAAAATGTCTGGACCTGAGTTTTCTAATCTATAAAAATGAGCCAGTTGGCCTTTATCAGTGGCTATCATATGTTGTTTTGTTACAAAATTCCTTTTTTCAAAAAAGTTTTTCAGTTGATTTCAAATAGGTAATGCTGATAATAAAATTGGACTAGGATGAATATCAAAAAATAGAGACTTTTTTCCCCTTGAGTTCTTAGATTTATGTTTTAGAGTAGACATAGCCTTAAAACATGGAAAAATGATACTAAAATCAACTATATTTCAGCATCTTTCTTACTGTATTCCAAAAGTCCTAGCTCTTGGAAGTAGTGTTTTAAAAATAATTCTCTGGCTGATAATATTTTTGAATAATGAACACTGCATCATCTCCCCTTTTGAGAGTTACAATACATGTACAATGATAAGGAGTCAATAAAATTTGTGTAATAGAAACCTGTTTAAATTTATTTGCATGTATCATAAGTGACCTTGAGTCACTTTTTTATACCTGAAATGAATACCCCAAGTAGCATGTTTTTAAATATTAATTACAAGCTCATGAACTCTGAGGACCCTACTTTAAAACTCTAAGCTTTCTTTCATATTCTAAAATGATACCTACTATATGATAGTCACTTAAGGAATATTACTTCCATGAATTTAAAATTTAATTTCATAAATACAGAGTTAACTGAGAACAAATCATGGCATATCTGAAATGCCTTTTAAAGGGGGAGGGAGGTGAAGACACAAAGCATATTCAAAGCTATTCAAAACAAAAATACAAACAAATTTGTGATAACGTAGATACACATCCCAAATAGGAAAAGTATCTAGAAAATTCTATGATCTCCCCTTTACTCCTTGTCTTCAAGCTACATAAGTCTTCCTGTTATTTATCCATCTTCTCTCTCTACTTCTCAGCTTGTCCATTAGTCAAGGAATGAAGATAAAAAAGATGAAGAAAGAGGAAATGTTAGAATCTTAGCAGCTGCTCCACCTCTACTCAGCTCATCTCCTCGTCATGGTCACACACACTGGTACCGTCCTCACCAGCCCTTACCCTGGCTTCCCTAAATAGAGATTCTTTTCACTCGAGACCTAGTGCATTTGGTACAACTGTATTAATAAGGTAAAGAGTGCAGCCTGAGACTAATTTTCTACTGAAATGTGGATTTATGTTATCTAAGCCCTTTTTTCACTGAGATTATTGTTACCATCCATAGGTACCTCTAAAATAACTAGGTGAAAAGAACGAGTGATGTCACATAAGAAAGACTGCTATTGCCTCCTTTTTACAAATGGCAAATAAACAGCAAGTGGATAGATGACAGATAGATAGAATTTTTATTTGTTCTAAGAATGCGGAATAAAGAAAAAACATTTTTTGTATGACGAACGAATACTTATAAGCCCCAGATAGTGGCTATAAAAGGAGTAAGTGGGCAAATTAAAGAAGAAAGAAAGGAAGACAGGAAGGATAGAAGGAAAGAAGGGAGGTAAAAGAAATCAAGAACAGGATCAAATACCAAAAAGTGAAATTCTTATTCCCAACTCTTCATCTACTGAAATCTCTAAACTGACCCTGGTCCCCACATCCACTCATTTAGGAAGGTTCCATTCCTCTTGCCAAAAGATAGGAGGATGGAGATGGACATTGTTATTCCATCACAGTAAAAGAAGATGCATTGTTGCCTTCACAGATTAGAAATGCATTACTGAGTTTTCATAGAAATTTGTAGTGTGTAAAGTTTTGTAGTATTACACAGCACTCTACTTTTGTGATTAGTGAGCTGGCCTTGGCATGGGAATTCCAGCTGTAACATGACACCTATACTTTTGCAGTCAAATGTTTTACCACTGAACTATAACCCCATGCCTATTCTTTTGGAACACAACCTGGTTGTAAAATGGTGATTGTCTGCACTCATTTTAAGGAAAGAAAAGTACCGTACTGAGATTTCTCTAATCCAGAATAGTTTAAAGACAGCAAATGTTCCAGAGGACAGCAATCAAAATGACAAATGAGTTAGAGTATTTTATTTATGAGAAAATATAAATGAAGCATAAATTATATAAGAGAAACTTGCTGAGAATAAACCAATTTTGAAAAATTGTGTGATGGTCTCTATAATGTCAAAGGCACAAACATCAAAGCAAAGAAATAATTTAGTAGGCTTTGAGGATTAGTAGTATAGATAATGAGAATGTTTACAGAGTGAAACAGGAGCTGTCTCCTGTATTGAAAAAGCAGCAGAACTACACTGGCTAGAATGTGGCCTAGAATCAAAAGCAGTGAAGGCTTAGAAATAGACTCTAGCACTATATAATACTCATATTAAAGGACATAAAACCACCTAAGGATCAATAACAATACCCCATAATTTTTAGATATGTCTTTTGACTCATCAGGGTCATATTCTTTCATGAATAATGGGCTCAACCAATTTGTTGGCAACTCTTCCCACAGTGGAAAAAGTCTGTTGGAAACATTAAAGTTTGGTGAAAAGTAGCTTGTGCTTTTCTTTAGGCAGATGCATTATGAGCAGTTTAAGAGCCATAATTACCTTATTTCCAATGACAAATGAATAGCAGCCCTCCATATCCTTATTGCTGTCCAATAGAATTACAATGGGAATCATATATATAATTTTAAATGTCTTAGTAGCTACATTTAAACAAGTAAAATGAACAGGTAAAATCCATTTTAATGATACATTTTATATAACCCAATACATTAAAAATATTATAATTTCAATTTATGGCACTAGCCACATTTCAAGTCCTTAATAGGCACATGTGGTCAGTGCACTGCATTGTACAGCATAGGAACTAAGAAAAGAGTAGAGGCATAATGCGAAAAAAAAAAAAAAAGGTTGTGATTGATGGGACATTCTTTTTTTTTTTTATTTCAGCATATTATGGGGGTACAGATTTTAAGGTTTCAATAAATGCCCATTTCCCCCCCTCCCCGGGACATTCTTTTTGACTGGAGGTTGTGAATATAAAGATTGAATTGTGCTCACTGCAAGCGACTTCACTGAGAAGGAGAAAGAGAACCATGGGTACTATGTGTGAGATTAGGTAAGAATGTCATCAAAATAAGAATCTCAGACATGCAAATTAAAACCACAATTAGATATTATCCTACCACAGTCATATGGTTATTTTTAAAAAGACAAAAAAAAAAAAGATGCTGGTGAGGATGCAGAGAAAAGGAAATTCTTATACACTGTTGGTGGGAATGTAAATTAGTACAACCTTTGTGGAAAACAGTATGGAGATCTCTCAAAGAGCTAAAAATTGAATTACCATTGGATCCAGCAACCCCACTATTAGATATCTACCCAAAGGCAATCAATATATCAAAGAGATACCTGCACCTATATGTTTATTGCAGCACTAGTCACATAGCAAAGATATGGAATAAGCCTAAATGTCCATCAACAGACAAATGGATAGAGAAAATTGTATATTTACACAATTGAATGCTATTCATCCATAAAAAAGAATAAAATCATGTCTTTTGCAGCAACATGGATGGAACTGGAGGCCATTAAGTGAAACAAGGCACAGAAAGTCCAATATTGCATGTTCTCACTCATAAGTGAGTGGTGAAAAATGTGTTTACTTGGATATCAGAGTGGAATGATAGACAATGGAGACTTAGGAGGCTGAAAGAGTTGGAAAGGGGTGAATGATGAGAAATTATTAATAGTTAATGGGTACAATGTAAATTATTTGGGTGATGGATATCCTAAAAACCCTGATTGACTACCACATAATTTATGCATGTAACAAAATTGTACATGTACCCTATAAATTTATACCAATGATAAACAAAAGAACCCTTTTGTGATTTGGAGATAGGTTAATTTTGGAATAAAATGACTTTCTAGATGATTAAAAATATATTGAAATATAATTTTAAATATCTTCACAGTTGGTAATTACAATGATATTAAAATGTTATAACAAGAAAAAATGTTGTAATAAAACTTATAAATGAAGTGGTCATGGACAGCACTTGCATTTAGCACTGAAAAGCATTTCTAGGACAGCTAGAGATGCCCAGATTCAGAATACCAGTTGTGGATCATCACCCAAATATATGCCAACAATTTATTTCTTTAGTCAATAAAAATTTCCTTAGTATTTACTATGTACCTGATGCTTTCCTAGCCCCTGGGGATACAACAGAAACAAAAATAGGTAAAATCTATGCTCCCAGGAGCAAATAATCTAACATAGATATATAAATTTACTTGTCTACTAAAGCTTTGTTAAATGGTTTCTAAAAAACTTCCTTCTTCATTCACCAACTAATATGATCAGAGTCTTCTCTTTTAGGGGAATATATTCAATCTGATTGCTAGCCTCAAGAAGTCTGGAACCTGTTTTTATATATCTCTGAATCTGCCTCAGTACATAGCAGAGTGCCTTATACATCATATAATGATGATATTGAGTTGAATCAAGTTGAATTAAATCAAAATGAATTTAATTGAAGTTACTGCATTGCTAAAAATCAGATAAAGACCATTACAAGAAAGGAAAACTATGGATCAATATCTCTCATGAACATAAATGCAAAAATCCTCAATAAAATATTAGGAAATTAAATCCAAAAATATATCAAAAGAATCACCATGACTAAGTGGAATTTATTACAGGTATATAAGGCTGGCATAACGTGGTAATCAATTTATGTAATCAATCATATGAATAAACTACAGAAGAAAATTTATATGATTGTATCAATTAGGTTAGAAGAAAATATTGCTACATCTTAGCATCCAATATTAATTCATGATAAAAACTCTCATCAAACTAGGAAAATAGGGGAATTTCCACAAATTGATAAAAAATGTCTATAAAGAACTTACATCTAACATTATACTTAATGATGAGAAGCTAGATGCTTTCCCACTAGGAACAATTCCTATTCAATATCATGCTAGAGGTCCTACCTAACATTATAAGACAATAAATAGAAATAAAATGTACACAGAGTGTGAAACAAGAAATAAAATAGTCTTTGTTTATAAATGACATGATTGTTTATGTAGAAAATCCTAAGGAATCGAATAAAACCACGTGAGCAAGTAAGTGATTATAGCAAGGGTGCCAGATACAAGGAAATATACAAAGTCATTTGCTTTGCTATAAATTAACAATAACCAACAGGGATTTGAAATTTAAAACACAATAACTAACCAACCTTAAGCAAAAAGAACACATCCAGAGGTATCACATTACCTCAAATTACACTACAAGGGTATTGGAACCAAAACAACATGGTATTGGTATAAAGGTAGACACATAGACCAGTGAAACAGAATAGACAACCCAGAAATAAAAACCATATAGCTATGATCAACTGAGTTTTGCCTAAGTTTTGACCAAGCAGACAAAAAAGTACACTGGGGAAATGATGCTTTATTCAATAAATGGTGCTGGCAAAATTTGATAGCCATAAGCAGAAGAATGAAATAAGACCCCTATCTCTTGCTATGTACAAAAATTAATTCATGGATTAAAGACTTAAATGTAAGGCATAAAACCATAAAAATTCTAGAATAAAATGTATAAAAAACTCTTCCAGACATGGGCCTGGGCAAAGAATTTATAACTAAGACCCCCAAAGGCAAATATAGCAACAACAAAAATAAATAAATGAGACTTAATTAAAAAGCTTCTGCACAGCAAAAGAAATAATCAACAGAGTAAACAAGCAACCTGCAGAATGGAAGAAAATATTAGCAAACTATACATCTGACAAAGGACTAATATCTGGAATCTACAAAGAATCCAAACAAATCAGCAAGAAAAAAACCTCCCGATCAAAAAGTGAGCAAAAGGAATATAATTTTTTCAAAAGATAGGCAAATGGCCAAAAAACATATGAAAAAATATTCAACATCACTAATCATCAGAGAAATGCAAATTACAACCACAATGAGATACCACCTTACCCCTGTCAGAATGGCCATTATTAAAAAGTCAAAAAACAATGGATGCTGGTTTGGATGCAGAGAAAAAGGAGGCTTATACACACTGTTGGTGGGGCTGCAAACTAGTACAACTCCTATGGAAAACAATATGAAGATTCCTCAAAGAACTAAAAGTAGACCTACCATTCAATCAGAAAATCCACTTCTAGGTATCTACCCAATAGAAAAAAAAATTTTTATCAAAAAGACACCTGCACCCAAATGTTTATCACAGCACGATTCACAATTGCAAAGATATGGAATCAAATTAAAAGTGCATTGATTGATGAATGGATAAAGAAAATATGACATACACACACACACCCATACAGACACCCCATGGAGTACTACTCAGCCATAAAAAGGAGTGAAATAATGTCTTTCACAGCAACTTGGATGGAACTGGAGGCCACTATCCTAAGTGAAGTATCTCAGCAATGGAAAAACAAACATCACACGTTTTCACTAATATGTGAGAGCTACATGATGGGTATACATGGGCACAAAGAGATGTAAAGGACATTGGTAACTAAGAAGGATGAGGATGGGAGAGGGGTAAGGGATACAAACTTACCTATTGGGTACAATGATCACTGTCCTGGTAACAGGCACACCGAAAGCCCTGATTTCAGCATTATACATTGTGTCCATGTAACAAAAACATTTGTACCTTCTTAAAAATTTGGGGCGGGGGGGATCCACAATACCATTTACGTTAGCACCAAAAAAGTATTACTCAGGCATAAATCTAATAAAGTATGTACAGGACCTATATAAGAAAAAC